CAGGCCGCCGGGCGCCCCGGGGGCCTCGTCCAGCAGGAAAGCCAGCAGGTCCAGTTCGCACTCGGTCAGCTGCCCGCCCACCACCTCGAACATACGATGAAGCGACAGCATCCCGTAGTAGTCCAGGCACTCGTCCTCCTCCCAGCTCGGGGCAGGGGTCGACCCAGACAGCGCCATACCCGGGGGAGGGGGTCGGAACCAGCTCGAACCAGGGCCTAGAACCCACTCGGCGGGGAAGGGGCAGTGGTCAGCGACGTGGGGCCCAAACGCCACCCCCGCCAGTGCGGCCGCCGGCCCCCGACCCGCGGGGCAGGTCTACCCTCACACCCTAGCCGGCTCGGCCTCCCTCTTCCCCCGGAAGCGAATGGTATCGTCCGAGGTCCCCTAATAAGAGGTCGAAACGTCAGACCTCACTCGACCTCCGACCGGTCAGGCCTGCAGAGCCCGAACGCCCCTCCCGAGGTGGTATGTTCCGAACCAGCCTCCGGAACCGACCAAGTGATTCGGTCCGAACGAGCCTGGGGGGCCCACCCCGGGGCACCCTACCGACTGCCCTTTGACCCTGGGTAGTTCTGCCCGGACGCGCCCTGGGCTCCGTCCAGCGGTCCTGTCCGACCAGCCCCACGGCTCCACCCCGGTGGTGCCGTCCGAAAGTGACCCTCTGGCCCCCACAAGCGCGGCTGACCACAGCAGCGCTTCGCCCCACATAGGTGGTGCTGTCCAAACCCGACCCCCTGGCCCTGCTGGGACGGTACTGCGCTCTCCCCAGCACCCAGGTGGTTCCCTCTACCCGCCACCAGTCGCCCTTCGGCCTCCCTGGGTCCTCACCGGAATCTGGCGTCTGCTGACTCCTGGGCGACGGCGGCAGCCACTTGTTTTGGATCTTTCTGGCACCTTCTCTATTATTACGTCTGCGTCACCTCGCCCCTCCTCCTTCCTCCAACTCGCGCAGGTGCGACCGCCACGCCCCTTACGCGCAAGCGCAGAGTGTGGTTTCCAAGCCCCGCCCCCAGGGCCCGCCC